ATTTCTTAAAGGGAGTTTGGTGCAGGGAGCTTTTAGTTGGATTCAAACTGCTGATATGGATCATTGTTAACGTTTAGTCTCCACTACAGAAACACTAGCTAACTGATAAAGGCTGATCAGGTTGTCTGATGGTATTAGTTTGATTAATGCTTTAATAATGGGAGTATTGATTACTGATCAGGCTGACATGCTGTAAATGGTTTGTTTGTGTGCCTGTTTGTAAACTATTTTCCTAATGAATGATGTGCTCATTATTAATGATTCCTGATGAAACAGACTCTGGGATTACTCGTTGTGAAAGATCTTGTAGTGTTTGACCCCCTGCTGGCCATCAGTCACGTAGTGTGAAACAACATGTCGACTTCAAGACTCTGGATTTCAAACAGGAAGCTGTGTAGTGTGAACAATACAGAGATCAAACAACTCTGAAAGTCATGTAGTGTGTCGAAGGCTCAACATTTTCCTTCATTAACAAGCTGTGTGTGAGCAGGAAATCTGTCTCGACTGCTTCAAATACTCAAATACTACTTATTCCTTGTCTATTGTGCGATTGAGTTTTAGTGTCACGTCGTGTGTGAGTTCTGGTTGGATAACAGAACGTTACTTCAGATGAAGAGTGTGCTGTTCACCTCACCAGCCAACCAGGAGCTCAGAAGTACCAAAGTGAAACAACTTGGCAACAGCAGCTAATTAAAGTTCCTCTCACTTCGGGGGCCGATCATACAGTTACAGAAACATCCTGTCGGACGACTCTTTTCTAACAGTTTTTAGACGCGCATTAACGTTTAAAAATGTTCAGCTCAGGGTACAAAGTTGCACAACTCGTCAATGTCAAACTTTTAAGTGACACTTACTTTTGGAAATTATAAAAACATTCCTGATTTTCTATTTTGTTTTTACAGTACAAACAAAAATTACACAATTAAATCAGTGTCACTTACAGTTTCTAAAACTAGTTGATCAAAAGTGTTTTTCTAACTTACATTTAGTTTTACTTAATGTCAATGTGATCATTTTCTACAATGTGTTGAGATAAAGGAACTGGTTTTACAGTGTAACTATTATCCTTCTGTTCTATATCAATCTAGAGCTCAACGCCTGCTTCATTGCATTTGATCACCGGTTGCAGACGCTGCCTCGCTCCACAGGCAACAGCTGCGTCTCTGTGTGATCGGCCCACTAACATCTGAAAACATCGGCACTCAGGGCTTCACAATGAAGGTCTCTGGAGGAAACCTCTCATATTCTACATTATCAGTGAACATTGATTAAATCATAACAGTCAAATAACGAACCTCCCTGGACCACATGAGTCTGAGGAGCTCGGTAAAGGTCCGGCAGTATCCTAAACCACCTCGGTGACTCCAAGGTTCCTCCTGACTGACGGAACCATCAGGATGCATTTAAAGGTTTAACAGCATCAACTTCCTGTTGTACTTTGGCTGAATTTGTATCTGCAGCCTCCGAACCGTCCGCCGCGTGCAGCTTCATGTGTCTCTTCAGGTGTCCTGTAACGGTGAAACTTTTACCACACACTGAGCAGCTGAACGGTTTCTCACCTGTGTGAGTTCTCATGTGAATTTTCAGGCTCCCCTTTTGGGCGCAACTTTTCCCGCAGATATTGCAACTGAAGGGTTTTTCTCCTGTGTGAACTCGCATGTGTTTGGTCAAGTCTCCTTTTTCGGCACAACACTTCCCACAAAACGGACAACTGAACGGTTTCTCCCCTGTATGGACTCTCATGTGTTTCTTCAGGTCTGTTTTCTGAGCACAACCTTTCCCGCAGACGGTGCAGCTGAACGGTTTCTCCCCTGTGTGGTACTTCATGTGTCTGTTGAGGTGTTCCTTCACATGGAAGCTTTTGCTACACACAGAGCAGGTGAACGGTTTCTCTCCTGTGTGGATCCTCATGTGTCTGGTCATGTTGCCCCTCCCACTGAAGTTCTTCCCACAGAATAAGCAGCTGTATGGTTGCTCTCCGGTGTGACACCTCATGTGTGCCGTTAGAGATCCGCTGTCTTTAAAGGATTTATCACAACCGGTGCAGGGAAACGGTCTCTCACCTGTGTGGTCTCTGATGTGTCTGTTCAGGTTCCCTTTCAGACTGAATCTCTTCCCGCAGTACGAGCAGGGGAACGGACGCTCCTTCGCTCCGATATCAGGGGCTTCACTGTTTGTCTGACCCTCCATTCCCGACGAGGTTTTGTTTGCTTGCATCCAATCACAATCACTGTCGTCAGTGTCAGTGGAGTCTGGAGAATTGTCTTCACTAACTGGTTGTAAATGTGTATCTGGATCTGAGTTTCTGGCTGGTTCTGGTCCTCCACAGTCCTCTCTATCATCAGTTTCCATCTGTTCAGTTTGTCTTTGATGAAGCGAAGCTGTGAGGACTGAGGTTTCTCTTCATCATCATCATCTTCACTCTTCACAGGGACAGGATGTGAATTGTGAACCCTTGAAGCTTGCTTCTCCCTCCTGACTGGTCCTATTTCCTCCTGTTCCTCTTTAATGTGTGGGGGCTCTGGGTCCTCCTGGTCCAGACTGGGCCCACTCCTGCTGCTGCTCAGTGGGAACCTCTCTTTAGTCCCGACAGCTGCTGGACGTCTGCAGGAAACCCTGAAATACAGAAACACATTATGCTACAGTCAATAAAGTGTTTTATTGATCTACTGACTGAATTTATGTCAGAACATTTGTCTCTTATCATTGCGACTAGTAACTGTGCTGAGACATTTACGGTGTAAAATAATTGATTAGGTAAATCAGGTTCACCCTCCTGTTTATGGAATACAAACACACCACACACACACATCTGGGTGGACAGCAGTGTAGTTACTGTGGTTAACCTCTGGGGGGCAGAGTAGATGTGCTTTGCTTGGGCCTCGAATATAAAGAGATGAAGTTGGTGCTCCGTTGAAGAGGACACACACACTCACACACACACACACACAGAGACACACACACACACAACACTACTTCAGTATGATCTCTGGGTGTCAATAAAGCTTTAAAGTTGTGTTCTCGACAGAATCAATAGAGGCTCCAACCCTGATCAATACATCAGCTGCAGGTTGATCAGGTTGTGATTATTGATTGTGTTCTTTCTGATCCATCGAGCTGATTGAACCATTGATTAATCGATCAAATTAAAACAATCGAACGTTAATATTAAAGGAAGATAAAATAATCTCTAAACATCAAAACAACAAGTCTCCAAATGATTCTGTCCAAGAGTCAAGATTAAAGTAGAAAGTTGCTCAAACAATCTTTTACAAATGATCTAAATAGTGAATTTAAATAAAGACTATTGTAGTAATTATAGTTTGGATATTAGTTTGAAAATATCAACAATATCAATAATAATAATTAATAATGAAATAATGCAGATAATGAGACATTTATATTATTAAGACTTATTGGATAATTAAATTACAGCTGATAAATGATCAATAAATTCTTATGTAAAAACATCTGATAATTTGTAAATAAGTAAATGTCATTGATCTTCTGTTTGTTTGTAATGAAACGATAACAAACATTTGAACTGTTGTTTGTTGTTGTGGTGTAAACATTGATGTCAGTTATTGTTATTAATATGAAAATTGATTATAAAGAAAATCACATCATAAATCTCTTTAAATGAGTGGATTCAGATTATTATATTAAAGATAAACCAACCAGGTTTCGAAAAAACTACAGCCCCATGAGGCTTGCTCTCGCTGCTTGGGGCTAAGACTCATGGGAGTTGTAGTGTTATGTGTAAACAAGTGTTTGTTGATTTATGTGTCATTGTAATGAATATATGTTGATGTTTTAGTGTCTCCGGTCGCAGTGAACTTCCGGGTTGTCTCATGACTGAAGGATAAAAAACCGCCAGAAAATGTTTCACTTTAGTAACAAACTGATCAGTTGACTGCTAGTAGCATTAGCATTAGCATAGCATTGAGCCTGCTGTCTCCGGGTCCTCCGGGTCCGGGGGCAGACAGCAGGGACTGACCCGCTCTGTGCGAAGCTCACTTGGGGCTTCAGCACGGCATCGAGCAGTCGTCCTCTGGCGGCAGGATCTCACGCTCTGAGCGCTCACTCTGTCGTACTCGCAACGGTTTCTCCAACAGACCGACAATCTCCTCCGTCAGACGGCCGTCAGCCGCTCGGTG